GAAAAATTATTTTAAGAAAATATCCAATCCAATTTGGTTGGTCCATGATATGGGTTCAATAGTAGTGTAGTTGGATGGGGCTTGACAAGAGCTTTCCAACGATATATTATAAGCCCAATTCCGATGAATATTGAGGAAGTTATGGCCAATTTACTAAACTAGGCCCGGTTTGAGCCTTATATGCGGCCCAATGATCTAGATGAGGGCCTAATATGGATTTATCATTCCTAATGCAATTAGGAATGGTATTAGTCTTCTAGAAGGTTCTTTTCATTCCTAATTCAATTAGCATTGATAAATTGACTTTTTGTTGACTTTTCAGAGTTTTAATTAAAATCAAAGAGCATTTTTGAGGAAAATACAATTTTATCCTCCTGTACAGCAATTTTTATCTGATTTTAAGAAAACGCGTGAATTTATTAAATTAGCGCCAAACGCCAGCTGTAGCGCCTGGCGCTACGCTTGGCGCCAACAGCGTTCAATTTTTTGTGCGCCAGACTCTGTTTTGATATTTTATCTTTTTGGTTGATTTTCTTTATAAATAACGTCGTAAAAACTCCGTTTTCATTCACCTACAATCAGTTTTTCATTCACAATTATCAATTCTCTCTCATTCTATAGTCATTCACCAACTCTCATCAATTTTCTCTTGATTACTCTCTCTCTCTTTTTTTCTAAACTAGCATTTTAAATACAAAATTCCGCATTCATTAGATCTAGAAACACCTAGCCATATTCGAAGTTGCCTTCTCCCTAGACGTGAAAGGTTTAATTTCTGAGGGTTTAGTCCCAAATCTCTCTTTCAATTATTTAATTTAATTGTTGTTTATTATTTTCCTTGAAGTTACTATCGTGTGTATTTTGTTATTAGAAAGAGGTACGAGGCATCAAAGTAAGTACTTTAATGGTTTTTATTGATGTTATTATGTAGAAATCATGCTTAGGTTGTTATTATTGTTTAGGGTAAATTTAATATCAAGTATGATTAAAAGTATGATGCTTCCTATGTTCTTCTTAATATTTATGATTGTTAGTATCATGTTAGGGCTAAAGATTTGATTTTATTGTTTAGTGACATGCTAGTGTTTGTTATTAATCTTGTTAGTATCATGCCTAGGATCTTGCTATGCTTTAACATATTATTATTATGATTAATATGATTGTTATTGTGATTATTGTTTTGATCATTATTATGATTAATTATAATTTATAATTGTTATGTTTTAACGTGATTATGATTATTTTTATGATTTATGATTATAATTGTTATAATTATTGATTATTTTTAATTATGATTGTTATGATTATAATTTTATTATTTTGATTATTATTATGTTGCTTGGTTATTTATTTTATTGTTTGATCACGCCTTTAATGCATGTTTAAAGGGAATTGATACTTGTAATCACGCTTAATAAGATATTTAATAATCTTATTTAGGGTTAATTTGATTATAATTCAAGTGATCGCCAATACTAAATTTATTTGTTCATTAATATTTAACCAACATAGATAAACAGGTTTAGGGTAAAACTATTGATTGAATGTTAGTCAGAAAGCGCACATGAATACAATCAGAATAAAGTAGAGGCCTATTATTAGGGCAGGTTCAATCTCTTTTAGGTTGGATTTGTACCTTCATCCCCGGACCCTTATTTGGTTTAAGACCTTATGGAGTTGACGATCTCTTGGATCGTTAAGGGGTGTAACCTTCACCTTATGAACGGTTTACAAGTTCCTAAAACATGTTGGCGACTCTTTTGCTCTATCTTCTTTCCCTTTGGACGCCACCGTACTTTAGTGTGCGATCACAGTGGGGTTCAAGCTAGGGGTTAACGCTTGAAATATTCCCTACATAAGGTAGCCTTGCCAAATAATTATCGCAGTTCAAGATTACGTGACTAATCAAATTTCCGGGTTGATCGCCGAACCCATGGTAGAAGGAAGATGAAGAATCGATCTTGTCATCCCCCATTGTCGATTAGCAGAGATTAGGGAAAAAATATACTTCCTCTATTCTTTTTTACTTGACCTGTTTCTTTTATCACGCTTGCCAATGCAAAACTTTAACGATCAATAACTTTAATTCTCGGTAAGTAAAAATTATAAAAGTTATACCTTATGATAGTACTTGTTGAGACGAATTTAAAAATACCTTACATAAATATGTTTTTCTTTAAATATTATTCACAAAACACGGTCAAAGAGGAGTGATGAATAGTGTAAAAGTCAAAGCGGGTCAAGTAAAAAAGAACAGAGGAAGTAGTGTTTTTTTATAGGGTTTAGAGTATTAGTAGCTCCGATACCATGTCAAAATAGAGAGAATGATTTTATGTTTCTTGTATTACGGTATGCACAATATATTTATACAATCTAAGTGTTGAGATTAAGGCTTACACATTGGCCCATTAGCTATACACAATATAAGGCTTAACAATTAGGTTCGAGTTAGGTTTTTGTGGGGGTAAGTGGGGGTGAGAAGGAGGAAGAAGGAAGAAGAATAAGGAGGTTTGTTGAGTAGTGGAGTGGAGGTAAGTGGGGGTGACATAAAGAGAGAGAAAATGATATAGAGAGAAATTTAGAAAAATAAAAATTATGAAAGAGATAATGAATTATTAATTAGGAGAGAGCTGGGAGACGAAATTTAATTTTAGGTTATTTTTTACATTACCACCCATATATAACCCACTTTTTGAAACTACCATTAGAAAAAAAAAAATCTTAAAATACCACCAAAAAACAAAAAACAAAAAAAAAAGTAGATTTTACCATCTTTTATACTGTTAAATACTAACGGTTTAAAAAAATTTCTTAGTTTTTCGCGCCAAAAAAAATATGCTTTTAGATATTTTGAGGGTCATTTATGTACAAAGGATCCAATTTGAAGTCAAAATTTACAAAAAATTATTATAAAATAAAACCTCGTTTGTGTACTAAAAATAAATCAATTTGTGAGACACGAAAAAATGAGGCATTTTTATAATTGTTTGTCTATTTTAACCACCAAGCCAGATCCTTTGGAAAAAATAACCTCCAAAGAGCTTGTTATAGGTACGAAAATCATGGAAATTTTAATAAAATGTTAAATTTAACGGTTTTGATGGTGACATTTTTTGTTTTGGTGGTATTTTAAAATAAACTTTTTTGTAGGTGGTAATTTCTAAAAGTGGGTTATTTGTGAGTGGTAAGGTACAAAATTTCCTTAATTTTTAATTTTATTTATTTACTTTTTGAAAATAAAAATAAAAATGAAGTATAAATGGATATAGAAGGAGGAGTCAACAGAACATTGTAATGTTGTTGTCATGGACCATTGGACCTCATGGTGTTGGTGTTTTCTTGGTTGTGTATCACTGCATCTTTCTCTTCTTGGATTTTCTGTCCTTTATCATGCGGTACGATAATTTTCAGCATTTTCATCGTGTTCCTCGAGTGCAACGAGCTATGAGGCCTAAATCGTCTTTAATTGCTTCTCAACGCAATTACACCATAAGTGGCATGTAATTACATGATATTATTACTATAAATTAAACCACTTCTTGTAGTAAAGAAACGCAAGAAAGTTAATTATAATTTGTTCATCTTTCTCTTCATTTCTTTGTCAAAAAAACTATGCCCTCCTTCACTCAGCTCCATCTCACACTCTACAGTCTTCCATCGCTAGGCTTAACCTGAAAAACCCGAGCTTGTTTGTCTTGAAAACTAGCTACAATACTAGAAAATTGAACTTCAGAAAGCCAAGTTTTGGTGCTACAAACATTATACTTAGTGGGTAATTTAAAACATTATACTCATTCATAATTCTAATAACAATATTAATTGTATTTTTTTTTATTAAATTCATGTCACGGGGTGTATTTAGTGTCCATTCTCAATTCAATTTAAAAATGCGACAATTTTGTGTCTATAGTTTAAGTTGAGTCTTGTTTTGAGTCAATTAGTGTAATTTTGTTATTTGTTTAATTCTTCTTATGGATTGACATATTTATCTTTATATTACAGTACAAAAATTTGAACCCTGATAGAGAAAGTTTCAAGATAGGCACTGTCCACATTAATATAAAAATTAGAGTATTTAAAGTATCATTCATTGTAAAGCCCGGGTCACACACTAATTAATTATTTAAAAACTATACTCTCTTTTAAATAATCGAGTTAGATTATTATACTACACAAGTGCAAAGTGCAAATCTTTAATGTAGATAGAGGTCATTTGCATAAGATTATTCTCTTTTAAAATAAAAAAAAAAACAAAAATACACAAAGGGTAATTGGTTACCATCCTAAGGAGAAATCCAACAGCATTTTTGAAGCAGCAAAGTCTTTAGGATCACCAGTTGAATGTGGCATAAACCACTTACTCGGGAGCGAAATTCCGATTTTCCCTTTTTGAGATTTCTACAAACAAAAAAAATAAAAATAAAATATATATATTAGCCCTGTTTAGCCCTGTTTCCTTCAAAATTCTAACATCTTCCTGCAATTGTTACCACCAAATAATCAGATCATCGCCGCCGCGCCATTTGATATGCAGTGGTACGCAAAAGTAACTCATTGTCCATCATGTAATCCTTATAAGCTTATGTCGAATTTATTGTCACACTATCAATGTACGTACGTAACTATTAAGTCCAGAGGCAGGGTGCCAGGGTGTTTTACCTTATAAAGGTTGTAGGAGTCAACTGCTTTACGACCCTTTTCGGCTTCAATCATGAAGTCCCAGGTACTTTTTCCTCTACCACCTTCATCCCCTCTTCCTTCAGTCTACCACAATTACCATTAATCAATTAGACATACATACCAATATAAGTCTAACTTTTGCTACAGGGCAAAATAAACACTTGAATTATTTCAATTTAGTTTCTTGAAAAGTTCGTGCAGTCATTATTGACATGTTTAATGAAATTAATTGATATATGTAAGTTCAATTTAAAATTTTCAAAAATATAACAAGTCACCTAAAAGAAAAGCACGTCGTAACATATCAGTACACTAGTAACATGAGAGAGTGTAACCTGAAGAGCGGAAGTAGAGGCACCAAAGATAAAATCAGCAGGGAAATCTTCCTTTTTCAAATCGTCTTTGGGCGGCGTGTAAATCGCAGGTTGGAGGCCATCAACGATGGAAATAACCGGGTTCACAACAGTGTTCACTCCATCCTTAACAATATTAGGAATAAGTTTGCACCAAAGATAAAATCAGCAGGGAAATCTTCCTTTTTTGGTGCTACAAACATATCATGCAAACTTATTCCTAATATTGTTAAGGATGGAGTGAACACTGTTGTGAACCCGGTTATTTCCATCGTTGATGGCCTCCAACCTGCGATTTACACGCCGCCCAAAGACGATTTGAAAAAGGAAGATTTCCCTGCTGATTTTATCTTTGGTGCCTCTACTTCCGCTCTTCAGGTTACACTCTCTCATGTTACTAGTGTACTGATATGTTACGACATGCTTTTCTTTTAGGTGACTTGTTATATTTTTGAAAATTTTAAATTGAACTTACATATATCAATTAATTTCATTAAACATGTCAATAATGACTGCACGAACTTTTCAAGAAACTAAATTGAAATAATTCAAGTGTTTATTTTGCCCTGTAGCAAAAGTTAGACTTATATTGGTATGTATGTCTAATTGATTAATGGTAATTGTGGTAGACTGAAGGAAGAGGGGATGAAGGTGGTAGAGGAAAAAGTACCTGGGACTTCATGATTGAAGCCGAAAAGGGTCGTAAAGCAGTTGACTCCTACAACCTTTATAAGGTAAAACACCCTGGCACCCTGCCTCTGGACTTAATAGTTACGTACGTACATTGATAGTGTGACAATAAATTCGACATAAGCTTATAAGGATTACATGATGGACAATGAGTTACTTTTGCGTACCACTGCATATCAAATGGCGCGGCGGCGATGATCTGATTATTTGGTGGTAACAATTGCAGGAAGATGTTAGAATTTTGAAGGAAACAGGGCTAAACAGGGCTAATATATATATTTTATTTTTATTTTTTTTGTTTGTAGAAATCTCAAAAAGGGAAAATCGGAATTTCGCTCCCGAGTAAGTGGTTTATGCCACATTCAACTGGTGATCCTAAAGACTTTGCTGCTTCAAAAATGCTGTTGGATTTCTCCTTAGGATGGTAACCAATTACCCTTTGTGTATTTTTGTTTTTTTTTTTTATTTTAAAAGAGAATAATCTTATGCAAATGACCTCTATCTACATTAAAGATTTGCACTTTGCACTTGTGTAGTATAATAATCTAACTCGATTATTTAAAAGAGAGTATAGTTTTTAAATAATTAATTAGTGTGTGACCCGGGCTTTACAATGAATGATACTTTAAATACTCTCATTTTTATATTAACGTGGACAGTGCCTATTGTTTCGGGGTTTTCTGATGTCCTGCGGGAGAGTTACAATTTCGAGACTGGAACCGGACGCCTGTACCTGCAAAATAACGGAGACTCCTGGTGGTGGGAGCTCCGCCTCCAACGGTCAAGTTAGTACCTGATTAAGGAGTAATTAATGCGGAAATTAAAGTGATTGAGTCTCTCTAGGTGAGAGTGTTTAATGTAGGTAATCTGCTTTGTTAGCGAGATCAGCCGGTTATTACTGTGTGTAATTAATGTGTTTTTTTCGTTATCCCCCTTAATGAGGATTAAGGGAGGTATTTATAACCTTGGGAAACGTGCCCATCCTAGGTTTAGGTTAACCTAGGGCCGATTGGGCTTCCCTCGGAAGTTGGGCCTGGGTGGCCGGTTTCTCCATTAGGCATGGAGTATGCCACATGTCATGACATAACAGGTCCAAGGTGGATGAATAAGCGCGTGCCACGTGGCAAGCCCTAACAGTTCCAACTGGGGGACACTTGGCAGGACCTGATTGGCCCACGTGGCGCATTCCGATTGGAGGAGCAAAATCCCCTAATCATTTGCCCCTCACAGGTGGCACGTGACTGGTCACGTGTTACCTGTGACAGGTGTCGCACTGTAACAGGCGGCGACCTTCTACAGGTGTCAGTCGGCGAAAGGACGAGAGATTTTCCCGCCCAAATTTTGAATTCTGAAAGTGACCCTTCGCCTTCTCACTTCGCCTATATAAGGGAGGATTGTCTTGAGTCATTTTCACACTTTGAGAACTTTTTGAGAACATTCGGACCCCTGAACTTGCTCTGACATTTCGGACCTTTTCTGCCTACCGCCTGTTCTGACAAGCCGACTACACAGGATTTTCAGAACTTCATCAACCGTCACTCGTTCAGGTAACTGTCAGTTCTCTTACTCTTAATTTTCTTTTTATTTTTTGAAATGGCACCACGGAAGCACACGACACGACCTAGGTTAGTGATCAGCCGGTCACCGGGGACGGCTGGATCTAGGACTAGGAGTGCCGCCTGCCTTTTTCCGGACCCATCTTTGCCCTTTATACAAAGTCCGACTGTATCTGTGTCTATGCAGAGCAGGATGGCCAGAACGAAAAAGACTGCTAGGATCTCAAATTCAGACGGCTCCTCCCACAGGGTGCCGCTTAGTGAAACATCTGACCAGGCGCTAGATGTGGAAGTGAAACAAGGCGTCCTAAAAGCCGGCAATTCTGAGGGAGGAGTCATAGTGACCCCTTCCCATTTAACAGTTAACAATTCTTCTCCTTTTCAAAGAGAGGAGGCGGGCCCCTCCGGGAGAGGGGAGGAGTCGTCCTCTTCGGACTCGTCAGAGGACGATTCCAAGTCAAGCTCTTCTGGCCATGCTTCTTTGGACACAGAAGAGAAAAACAGCCGCCTGCAAGAGGCGAGACTTTCTCACTCAGTTGAGAAGGGGGACAATTGGGCGGAGCCATCCGCCTCTCACCGAGAGCTAAATACCCCCTATTACTGCACGGTACCTCGGGGCCGGATCACAGCCATGCAAGAGAAAGTGGAGAGCTTTATTGCAAACCACACCATGGGCCCCGACTTTCTAGTGTTTGTGCCGGATCCAGAAGACACAGTCGTCTGGCCGGCTGGTTCCAGTTATGATAGCGCCTGCTTTGGCTGCTACGAGGCGGCCATCAAGGCAGGGCTTCGCTTCCCATTACATCCGGTTGTTCAGCGGATCTTGGATGGGTATGAGTTGGGGTTATGGCAGTTAGCCCCAAACTCCTGGGTCAACGTACTCGGCTATGTGGCCGGGTGCGAACTGCACGGGGTGGAGCCGAGCTTCGAGGCTTTCGCCCATATGAACTATCTCAGCCGGACCCCTAAGACAGGCGGTACCGGCTAGTATCAATTGACAAGCCACAGGGGCTACCTCATGACGAGAGGTAAAGCAAACAAGTGGAAGGACTGGCGGAGCACCTTCCTCATCATTGAGAGTTCAGACATTGAGCTGAACAAGCGCTTCAATAGGTGGAACAGGAATCCGCCTCTTCTTGCAGGCGGCCGTAGCATGCCGCCTGTTCCCCCCAAGGCTAGGAAAGAGATCCTTGATAAAGGACTCTTTAAAGTAGAGTCGAGGGTCGACTCTACTTCAGGGGTACAAGAGCAAGTACCCCTGCACTGCGTCCCGAGCTTCAAATGGCTCTACGACGAGTACTTTTTGGCCGCCTGTGGCCTCAGCAGTCGGTGCTCAAGAGGTAGTCGGCCTGTCGAATACTCTGTTGTTCCATACATTTCTTGTTATGACTTTTATTAACTTTGTTGTTTGTTTTTGCAGCTGACGCCATGAGCAAAATCACCGCCTCCAAGACTGCGGCGGCCATGTTGCGGGCCTCCATCATGCAACAGTCTTCAACCGACTCCCCCAACAAGGGGGCACCCTTGGTGGGCTTCGAACCTTTCACCCTCTTTTTGGAGTTGTGTTTATGCATATAATGACTTTTTTCTTCTTTTTTAGACGGGTGCTCCAAGAGCTTCATCTTCCCAACAGCCGGACCCCAAGGCCCGGAGGACGACTGTTGCGAGCTCTCCTGGTTCTGCCAGGAAACAGGTGGCGGCTGAGAAACAGCCGACCACTTCCTCTAAAACTCCAACTGGGCCGCCTAGAAGTATGAAGTTGTCCTTGTAAATTTTAGACTTGCTCCCTTTTTTACTAGGTCTAATCCGTTTGTTTATGCTTGATGCAGCCGGCCCTCAGGAGCCTGACTTGGTAGAGATGGCCAAGTCTATGATCAGGGCAGTTCCTCCAGCTGAAAGGGAGGCGGTCAGGGGTGTCGGCACCCTTGACCTAGACGGGATTGCAGGGGTCCTTGCTGAGTTATACTTAGCATATTTTTGAGTATTTGAATTTCTGGACGCCTGTTTTTCTTTTTGTTTGGAAACTGACGCCTGTTCCTTTGTACTTAGGCCCTGCTCCGAGTGAACGGCCTTCGCAAGCCGCTTGACCGGAAGAACAAAGAGGTAAAGGCTGCAAAAGCTATGGCCGACTCTGACTGTGATAAGGCAATGTTTCAAATTGCCCAAAATGAAGTTCTGACCATTGATATTCTTTATTATCAGGCGCAGGCTACCGCCGTTGTTCGGGCTCAGTTAGAGGCGGCCCAGAAGAGGAATGACGAGCTGGAGGCGACCATCACCAATCTCTAGGCCGAGCTGAAACCTCTTCGCCTAAAAATGTACTCTTACGAAGCCTTGGAGAAATCCTTGGCCAACGTAAAGGAACGCCTGGTGACCCAGGAGAAGAGTCTTACACAGGAGCTCTCGGAAAAGGCCGAGCAAGAGAAGAAAGAGCTGGTCCGGGAGATGATGGAAGACTCCGCTCAAATCCAGCGCATGACTTGGGGCCGCCTCTTCCCCAATGCCGACTTTGCCTCTTGGGAAAAAACGTACCGCCAGTGTTCTGATACATATAATCAAGAGATCATGGCGGCTGCTGAGGAAGAGGCGTTGGAGGAAGCGTTGGAGGAGGAGGAGCCGGTAGTGGCGCTTGTGCCGCTTGGGGGTAAGGCATCAAAAAAGGATGCAGCTGAAGCCGAGTCCAGCAAGAAGAGTGCTGACCAGGCGGCAGCTGCTAATATTGAAGATTTGCCCCCTTCTTAAGCTTTATGTATTCTTTCCACGGCCTACGTGCCGTTTGTTTTGTATTTACCCGGCCAGGGGGCCGGGGCTTTGAATATTTTGCTGGTCTTTAATGACCGGCTTATTTTTAATGAATTTTTGTTTTGCCTCAAATTTGTCTAAGTATTCCATATTCTAATATCCAATTGTTCACTAGACCGACTGTTTTACATGACCGATAGTTGCAGATAGGTACGGATAGTTAGTCACGCCGCCTATGCCCCTGGACGACTGGTTGTCTGTTTCCAGGATAGACGATCAGTCGGCCATTTATCCAATCGGTATTTTAACTATTTTAAGGTCTGGATCCTTTTTAGGCAGGCGGTCCTGTCATTTGTAAATTTAACCAAGTAGGAAAGTGGTCTGACCAAGTACACATGAGTGTTACCTAGTTGCCAAGGAACTGAGTAGTAGAGATAATAAGCGGCGGGTACCGGTTATTTCCCTTTATTCGCCAATGTTTGTTGGCTTTTAACTCATAATTTGTTAACCTAGCAGGAGTAGTGGTTGAGAGCCCCTGTTTGCTAAAAACAGGCGGACGACTCATACCTTTTAGGCTCCATACTATGTTTGAGGGAGTGACTATAAGTTAACATATGAGTTACTTAGTCTCCTTCACACTCAGATTGAGTAGTAGAGGTACCAGGCGGCGGATGCCGGCTGATCCCCTTGATTCGCCAATGTTTGTTCGCTATTAACTCAATAGGTTACCTAGTAGGAATAGGGGTTTGAGTGCCCCTGTTTACTAAAAAACAGGCGGTCTACTCAAACCTTTTAGGTTCCATACCAAATTTGAGGGAGTGACTATGAGTTAACGTTGGAGTTACTCAGTCGCCGTCACTCTTGCTTGAGAAGTAGAGGTACCAGGCGGCGGATGCCGGCTAGACCCCTTGATTCGCCAATGTTTGTTGGCTATTAACTCAAGAGGTACCCCCTGCATTTGTCCCAAGTAATACAGGCGGTCATCTGACTCAGATGTCAACTGCTACCACTGGTTTGGTTAGTGATAGAGTTATCCTTGTCTCAAAAACGGCTACGTGGTTGCCCTTAGGGACAGTCGTATAGGTGCCGCGTAATTAGTTTATAGAACAATGTTCCACCCAAAAGGGAGCTGCTCTCTGCGACGAATTTCATCCGGAGGGATGCCGCCGGACGCCTGCTATGATGTTGGGACAGGTCGTATTAGTTTTGAAGATTGGATCAGTTGGCTTGGCGCCTGGTCTGATCATTCGGCCTGTGGCCTTGGTAAGTTCTTGGTGAACGTAGGTGTTAAGTAAAAGGAGGGTAGCCGCCTGTTAGGCACAGGGTCGACCAGGCCCTAATCTTTTTAGCTAAGTATTAGGGGGGTGGCTATGTGTTTGGAACCAGTCGGCCATCTTCTTATGGAGAGTAGCCGACTATATGTCCAGACGACA